AATAAAACTGATTTATTATTATCACTAACAAACGTCGTACGTCTATGAAAGACACGTTTGAACTAAAACTGGTTTCTTCGTAGTAGTAAAAGTAGTGGGACACAAAATTGTACGGCGTGATCTTAAATTTTGTTCTTGAATTTCTGATTGGTGATGATGAGATTTTTTGGCCAATAGGAACAACAGGAACCAAGTTTAGAATTTGTGCGGGCGTGTTCAGGTTCATGTTTATTCAAAAGAGGAAACGCAGTTTGTTAAAGTGTGGAATTTGTAATTTATTTTAATTCATCACGTGTTTGATAAATTGTTAAACTTTGGTGTAGAACTCTAGTTTAGGAGAAAACAGGCTAAATCGAGTAACCAAGTTTGTGCAACTTGCCTTTAGGCCTTAAGTTAAGTTAGGACACCACCTTTGATTTACCACTTTTCTCAAATTTTTCAAACTTTACTTTTTACTTCTCGAACTTTCAGTTTAATTTTCTTCTTCGTCTTCATATTTTCAGTTCATTCACTTTTTTCTCTCATACATACACAAACACATCCATTAAACCTTTCAAATCGGTTGATCCGTGCGCCCGAAAACGTGGACGAAAAACTCTATCCATACATACATACACACATCCATTTTTTCTGAAGTATGCCAAAATGTTCAGAAACCTTCAAAACGTCGAGCAATGCAAAAATTTTCATTTTCGATTTTCGGCCCATTACTATAACTACCCTTCAAATAAAGGGTTATCCATCCTTAAAAAGATTTTTTTTCTATTTTTTGGACCATTTTTTAAATTCCCGTAGGGTAGTTATAGTAATGGGCCAAAAATCGAAAATGAAAATTTTTGCATTTCTCGACGTTTTGAAGGTTTCTGAACATTTTGGCATACCTCAGAAAAAATTTATGTCTGTGTGTATGTATGTATGGATACAATTTTTCGTCCACGTTTTTGGGCGCACGGATCAACCGATTTGAATGGTTTAAAAAACATTCAATTCCTATTAAGGGGGAGATGTGCTGATTAGTTTTTGGCGAAGGCAGGTCCGGCCGTTACGGAGACACGAAGCAAAGAGTGCAGAAAATACATATCGAGTTTTTGAGAAAACGGAGTATCGGATTTGAATGATCTAAAAAACATTCAATTTGTAATGATGGGAGAAGAGGTGATTAGTTTTTGGCAAAGGTAGATCCAGCCATTTCGAAGATACCGAGCTAAATGTGCAAAAAATGGCAGTTTTTGAGAGAATTAAGGATATGATTTAAATGATTCAAAAAACTTTCTGCTTGTTTTGACAAAATAATTGATTTTGGAACAAAAATATTTTTGTTTAAATTTTTTTTTCAAAAAATTTTTTTTTGTATATCGAAAATAATTTAGATTTTATTTTTAATTCTAACTAAAGTTCTAATATACTTTAAACAAATAATTTCAACTTTGCAATTCAGTTTATATAATTCTTATAAATATTAGACAACGTTACAATATTTATAAAAATCTATATGAAAACATTTAATATTCTTCCACGAGAAGTTCCAGCAATTTGCCTTAAGGCACGATGCCATACACCCCATTAGTTCGTTTTTTTTTTCTAAATTTTTTGTATATCGAAAATAATGCAGTTTTAATTTTAATTCTGGCTAAAATTCTAAAACTTACGTATATACTTTAAATAACTAATTTCAACTTACGTAGTTCAGTTTATATAATTCTTATAAATATTAAACAGTGTTACAGTATTTATAATAATCTATTTCAAAACATTTAATATTCCTCGAACATTTCATTACACTACGGGAAGTTCCAGCAATTTGCCTTAAGGCACAATGCCATACACAACTAGTTTGTATCTCATTTTGAAGCGCTAAATTTTTACCCCGGAATCATTTTTATTTCCACGTGCAGACAATGTTTTTCACTGAATTGCGATTAAGATTTCCTCAAACTTATGCAAAAACTTAAATTTTATTTAAAAAATCAATTTATTTGTAATTCAGAGTAGTATGATCCCTATCATTTGTAATTAAATAATTCTGTACCTAAAAATGATATAATAAAAATCCAAATGTTTAAATATCCAAATATAACAATGACTATCATTATGCCCCCTGAACAATTATATGCAGCATGCTTTGCAGTGGGTAAACCATTCAAGTAATTTGTGTTATCTGTCATACACATACTTTATTTTCATTTTTTATACTAATTTTTTTCTGGAAATAATTAATAAAATAAGTTTTATATTCCTTGGCCGACGCATGTGCGTAAACCTGACCGACGGCCTTGCCATGCGACTGCCAACAAACATATATATTTTGCTTAAGCTACTTTCACACAAAACTAGAATATTTTTTAAAAAAAAATCACAAACTATTAGTACTAAAATTTAAATGAAAATTACATGAAATTTTGTAACAAAACTTAACAATCCTTAGTCCAAAAATAATGCAAAAACACAGTGTAATATAAAATTTGTAACATTATATTTTGATATTGATATGATGAAAATAACTTGAATTAGATAAAATAAATATAATAATTTTAATTTATGATATAAATGATAATAAAAATTTGATCAGAATTTATCAGACTATATGATAAATTTTGAAAAAAAATATTTTATATTAATTCTATATATTATTTATATAGTTTTCAAGACAGTTTTCATTATAAAATGCTATTACGACACACATATATGTATTAGGAAAAAATTATAATATTTTTTACTAGCAATTTATATAGTCATTATTTGATTAATTAATAAAATATTATAATTTATTTTAATATTTAAATATATATTTGAATGAGTAATTTCTTTGTCTACTTATTTGTATGTATTTATATATAATTTTATTCTTGTTTGATTAAAATATAATATTATAAATTATTTAGATATTTATTTAAAAAATATTAATATTTTATATATTAATAGTATCAATATTTACTAATAATTATTATATAAATATTATTATATATTTATATTATATTTATATTTATAATTTTATATATTATATTTATTTCATATTTTATTATATTATTTATATAATTATATTTTAATCTTGTTTATTTAATCTTCATTTATAATTTTATTCTTGTTTGATAAATCAAAAATATAATAAAATTATTTTGATATTTTATGTCCATTAATTAAACAACAACAATATATTTAATTCTCTTAATTTATTTAAAATATTTATTTTTTCATCTGTTTTTTCTAATAAAGTACAATAATTTCAACATGCAAATTTATTGTTTTTAAATAATTATTTAAGTTTATTTAGCATTTGTAAAATAAAATATATAATTTAAAAAACAATGTCCGTATTTTATTTATTTCTTAAAAAATTACAACCAATTGTCGAAGTACAACAATTACAATATGCAAATTTATTATTATTAAATAATTATTTAAGTTTATTAAGTATTTGTAAAATAAAATATATAATTTAAAAAATAATGTCCGTATTTTATTTATATTGAGTACATATTTATTTTTATAACAAATTGTTTAAAATTTAATAAAATCATTTCAGTGCCCATTTTAAAAGTTTTATTAAATTATTATATTTATTTTTATACTCAATTGTTTAAAATAAAATATAATCACTTCACAAGCCATTATTTCATTCCAATGAAACCATTACTTAAATATTTTTAATTTTTTATAATATTCAATATTCTTTAAATGATTGGATATTAAATTTGATTTTTCGAATGATATTTTTTCTGTGTTTTGCTATAAATAAAAATCGAATCCAAGTTCATTTATAATTGTAAGAATTATTTATGTAAATAAATGTGGACTATCGTCGCCTTAGTGATGTTATTTTTAGAGATAGATCTCAAAAGATAAATTTAGGTGTATATATATATATATATATATATATATATATATATATTCGAGAAATAGTTGAAAATTCATTCAGATTCAATTAAAATAAGATTGAGATTGATTGAATCTAAAAGTTTTGATATACAGAAAATAAACTCAAATAAAATATTTTCTTCAAAAGTATTTTTCAAATTCTCAAAAAACCATAATTTGTTTATTTTTTTACAATTTTTAGTATACATCATTAAAATTAATTTAACTTCATAAATAACAAAATTATTAAAATAATTAAATAATTTTAATAATTAACCTTGAGAATGTGTAAAAAAATAAAAAAAATAATGCATATAGAAAAATAATGTATTTTTTATATGGTAAGACTTTTGAAAATACATTTAATATTATATATTTATTTATTATAATTTTGTATCAATACAAATTTAATTATTAAATTAATAATTAATTTTGTATTGATACAAAATTTTAGTTTTTCTGTAAGATAATTTACCAAAGAATAATATGTTCCTCTTGGTTGTTTAAAAATATATTTATTTATAAAATTTGGTTGTTAATCGACAATAAAAATGCACAAAAAACTCTATACAGCATACGTTTATAATATTTATACAAATGTAAACAACAAATTCATATCACAGACTTAAAGTAGAATTTCATTTAACAATATTATTTAAACACAGCTATATATAAAATTATGTCACATATATAAAAAATATTAAAACTCGATTAATATTATAAATTTATTGCATGATTTATTCGGATTTGTTAAAACTGAGAATATAATTTTTATATTCGAGTCTTAACTTGTTATGCGATATGATTGTCAATATTTGTTTCTTAGTCATGGTACATGCCCTCGACCAAAAAGTCCATCCTCCTATAATGCCTCTTTTCCCAGTAGTCTCTAGCTTTCCGTACAAGAAACACAGTGAAGATTAAAAATAAAGGTACAGCAAATATTGTCACAACTACAGGTACAATATAATCAGGATGTCCACGTGATTGAATTTGTATACCCAGATTTAAACCGGACATTGTACTCTTTTGACTTTCGTAATAACTCTGGTGATCAGCAGTGTTGTTTTGCGGATTGCTGGAAGCGTTTGGTTTGTTTTGGTACAAAATCATATTATCGGCCTCCTCGTCCACACTGTAAGTTATTAAGGCTTTCTTGGCTTTGGAGTCGTTGTAGTTGTTGTAGTAGTTGTAGTAGTTGTTGTGGTTGTAGTCGTAGTTGTAGTTGTAGTTGTGGATGAAGGCTTTGTTGTTGATGTAGTGATATTTTTAACAGAAGTGTCTATCCTCACATTGTCGCTTACATCAGTGCTATTTACTGGTAATTCAGCTCCCTTTCGTGGTACTATTTTAGACTTACTTGTAGCATTATGTTTTGAATTTTCAGCAATATTTGTGGAAGCTATAGCTATGTTGCCCCCTTCACCAGGAAACGTTGGCATTGGAGGTGCTAAAGTTGAGGTAGTACTTATTTGTGTATCATTTAACACAGGCTCGGATTTTACACAAAAAATGTAAGGAACTAAAGATATAAACAACAAAGACCTCAAAATCATATTGGTAAATTTTAAATGAAACGTAGTAAAATAAATAAAAATAATGTAAACAATATGTGCAAATTTCACTTTGACATTTTACAATACGCAATGGGAGTGAAGTTAGCTGGTTGTCGATTGAGCAAAATAATTTAAATAAACTTTGTTTAATAATATTTGACGTGATTGTAGGATTTTAAAATCAAATTTAGTCGTGAGTTCAAGAAAATACATGAAAACATGTTTTACTTGCATTTTAAACTTTTGTGTTCAAAACAATCATCAACTGTCAAATTTGAACTGTCAACTCTGAGCTGTCAAATACGCAAAAATAATTTAGCATGATTTTTAATATTTAGCACAAACCGTACACTTTATCAATAAAACTTATATCATAAATAAAAGAAAATACATTAAAACATACTTTCCTTGGACTTTAAACTGCTGTATTCAACAATTACACAAAATTGACAACTTCCAACTGTCAACTTTGAGCTGTCAAAAATTACCTAAACACAAAATAATTTATAAATTTAAAACACAATATTTTTAATATTTAACCCAAATCCTAATTTTAGGAATTAAATCAAGTCTTGAATTTTAAAAAATACAAAAAAGCATGTTTTATTTGCATTTTAAACTTTGCATTTAAATCTCACTCATTAACTGTCAAACTTCAACTGTTAACTTCTAGATGTCATTAACAAAATAAATAAATTTCTAAAATACTTACTATTTATGATATTTAACGCAAATTATATATTTATAATTAGAATATTGATACTAATTGATAAAAAATATACAAAGATATGTTTTACGTGCAATTAAAACTATTGTTACTTACCTGTCAACTTTTAGCTGTCATCAACTGTCAAATATGAAAAGATTGCAAAAGAATTTGCAAAAACACTATTTCGAGTATTTAACACAAATTTTGCGCTTTCTAAATAAAATATTTGCTTTAAAATGCTGTAACTTTAATAGAATTCATGAAAACCTATCTTTTTGCACTTATAACTAAATCATAATATATTCGTCAACTGTTAACTGTCCACTCAAATATTAACGGTCAAATACTTAAAATATTATTAAACACTAATTGTACGCATCACAAATGCAACAATTGTTGATGTTTTCATGAAAATTTGCATTTTATTTAAATTTAAAATGTATTCGTCAACTGTCAACCTTCAACTGTCATCTGACGTGCACGCCATCTTTATTTATTTATTAACTTTGAGGTTACTAAAACGCATTCAAAACATTTACTGGAAGGTTCCAGAGCTTGTGCAAGCTTGCAAGTTCTATTAGTGTTCTCTAACTTCAGTACCACGATACTTACTGTAATTTAACACCACATACCAAAAGGCTTTACCTCAGCTTCCATATAAGTCTAAAGCAGTTCAGTCAATTACAATTTAGGACGAATCTCATACACTAAGAACATGGGTGCTATTGATATTACAACTATCAAGGATGGCGGAGTCCTAAAAGAGATAATTAGGAAGGTGTTGGTACTGAAACTGCTACTCCAGGATGTAAGGCTATTGTGCATTATACGGGCACTTTGCTTGATGGTACAAATTTGATTCGAGCAAGGACCGGGGGCAACCTTTTGAGTTTGATTTGGGAAAAGGTAATAAATGATAGTAGCTAGTTGAATAGAAGACTTTATTGATACAACTCATCTCATCATCTTTTTTATTTAGGCCAAGTTATCAAAGCTTGGGACTTAGGCGTAGCCACAATGAAAAAGGGAGAAATCTGTGGTATTAACATGTCAACCGGATTATGCTTACGGTGCCAATGGCAGTCCTCCGACAATTCCACCAAATGCTACTTGAAATTTGAGGTAAAGTTAAATTTCCTCTCATACTCAAAAAGTTCTATTTATAAACTAATAACCTATTTTTAGGTCGAGATGATTGATTGAAAGGTGAAGACTTATCCAGTGAAAAGGATGAAAGTATTGTACGATTAATTTTAACACCAGGAACTGGTTATGACACACCGAATGATGGGTGCTTTAGTTGACGGTAAATTTTAAAAATATAATATATATAATATATA